TTTTTTTTTCTTTGATGTAAAAGCGCTTGAACAGTTGCACCTTTTCTCAGACGGTTTAAAATGTAACAGTGGATACTGCATTAAATGTGGTGAGAATCAACTACTTTCAGAAGGCTTATGTTGATGCAGGAAAATCCTTTTGCAGCACATAGTGCTCAAAGCGAAAGGGCATGCACATTTCGGTCATTGGCTCTTCTGCTAAGCATTGACAACAAAACAGGGAGACCTATATGATGTAGCGTTTTTTTGACTTGCTGCATAGTCATAAAGAGAAAATTATGCAAATGATTTGTGCCCAAACATGATTTATCCTCAGTGAACCAAGTCATTTTTCATTTTGTAGGTATGCTGTGGCAACCTACAAAATGAAAATGCAACCTACAAAATGAATATGTGCCCAAATGCTGACTATGCTAAAGTGATCACTTTTCTGGTGCATTATACTTTTGTGGCTTCTTATCATTTTATCGCCACTGTACTCCAATCAGTGAAAAATAACTATGCAGAAAAGAAGCCTTTCTGCACGCATCACTGTGATGAAGAGAGATATGCTGTGAAACGTTTGTCATAGAGCTCCTAAGCAATGAAATGAGCTGGGGATGATAAAAGATAAACAAGCAGTCGTGCACAAACGTTCAGAATTTTGATGGTGGTTAGAACCTACTTTGCAGCGGTTTCACTACCAGCCAGTATGAGAAAGAATCCCCTGAAAATTAGGTGAATAGGAAACTACAGTACTGCAAGAAGTAAAGAGTCAAAGCAAGCAGAAATAAATTGACAGCTCTTTAGAATTCATGCATCAGGTATCAGACATGCAGTGTCCAGGTTCCTGTTTTCAGAAAAGATTTGAACGTTAAGATGGACAGGAGGAAGGCATAAGAAAAAAAGAGAAAGAAAGAAATATACAGGGCAGACGTGAATTGAAAACACTGGCAAAAGCACACTCATAGACTGTTTACATTGTTGTAGCTTATGTTCTGTGAAATCAGTGCAGGTATGAAGGGTTTCTGAAAGGTTTCTCCAAACCATTTAAGCAACTGAAATAATTTTGGACTTTTTTTTTAATGTTTCTAGACATATTTTTATCCGCTATAACAGGTACATTCCAGGCAGTCCAGGTAGGTATGTTACTGGTTATCTTTCAAGGGTACTTAGATGGAAAATGGTAGAAAAGGCACTCAGATTTGTACTTTAGTCACAAATATTTCGTTTTGGGGTTTTTTTTGTTGTTATTGGGTTTTTTAAATATTTTTTGTTTTGTTCTTTAAATTTGAATAACCGTCATTGCACAGTAGCAAATACATTTGTTCTGGCCTATTATTCTTTATGCAAAGTGTAAAATTATGTTTTTGTTTTACATGAACAGAATGTTTTCAGACGACGACATAAGTTATAGTTTTATTTAGATAATTCCGCAGCCCTACATTTTAATATCACTGCTATATACTGCACAGTGATTTCTATAGTAAATACCTCATTTGAACAAATATATTTCCTCCAGTGGCATTCCATCAGAACAAAACAGAAAATCAATTAATTTAACATCAGACATCAGTTCAAATGTAAGCGAAAACATCCCTCTCCTTTCATCTCAAAGAGCGTCCTGTCAAAGTTTCTGGCCTCTTTGTGTCCATTCTTTAACCTCATGGGAACTGGCGTCCACATATGTGGACATCACATTTTGGGTTGTCTAGACCAAAATACAAAGTTTTGCTGGTATCTACTTACGAGGACATTTTACTACCACTGTTCTATCGAAATTTAAGGCGAATGTCCTCATATGTGGATCTCATCTTTCTCAGACACAACAACAACAAAACAAAAAAAACAAAAACCGATCTAATTCTTTTTACATTCATCAGGTCTCAATCAGCCCAAATAGCTAAGAGAACTTGCAAAAAAAATGCATGCCATGAAAGAGTTCGGGTCTAAGGGGGTTAAACTGCTGCCATCTTGTGGTTACATTTGACTATTGTGCTTATGAGCAGGATTAAATCTGCTTCACTACAGCCAGGGTTCTTGTAATAATAACTTGTAATAATAACTATAAAGAGTAATAATAATGATAATAATAGTATGTAGCAATTATTTAATAGTATTGCTATTCAAAGGCTCTGATGACATTGGAAACTGCTGGGATTTTGTTTGTTTGTTTGTTTGTTTTTTGTTTTACAGGAATAGACCAGACCGCGTGTAAACTCATAACCTATTCACCAGCTCCATGCTCCAATTCAACAAACCCTCAGCTGTCCATTGTTCTTTCTGTCTACTCTGATCTCTGAGGTAAGAAAGCTGCTTTTCGTTGCTCTGACCTCAGTGGGTGCGTCCTCTTCTGTAGCTGGTGCTTCAGCACCCTCTAGTGGGTGAAAAATGTAATGCACGAGCATGAAGCGTTTACAAATAAATAAAAAAAATGCATGACTACAAAGACTTTACATAACTTTCTCTGGCATTTATCACACATTAATCCATGGATGGATAGATATTAATGTTTTTTTTATTAATATGCATC